CACCCTAACCCACATAATTTCAGAATTCCTTACTTGATGCCACAACCAACGTTCATTTTATATTTGCTTACTTTAAAGTAATCCGTTTTCCCATAAAAATTGCACGTTGCCCATACCGATGAACGACTAGACCTATTCGAAATTCATACTACTAAGACATTTCCGCAGTTTTAAGTCAAGTTATTTAGTTTAAGTGGAAATGGATCAAAAACTTACCCACGTCTATATTATGCCTTTTGTTATCTGTTTTTAGGCTCGCTGGGAAGTAGTCCGCAATAGTTCGCGGTAGAAAGAAGTTAAAAATTTAAAAGCACCCCGTTGTAATGGGAAAGTAGGTGATATTCAGAAATTCTTAATAACAGACTATTTTGAAGTGACAATATATTGATATGAATTTTGCTTACTGGAACTAAGATGCTCACTGTGGGCCCTGAATATGACGGATATCGCTAGACACAACAACTGGTCAACTAGTATCTATTTAGAAGTGACTCCAATGGCGACTCCTTCGCTAATTCAACAACCAATAAAATTTCAGTATTCTTTAAAAAAACTTTATCAAGCTAAGATGAGGAAACCTATTATTGTTGATGAGCCTACTGGCTTTTTGAGTGACCTTTTAAGTCACTTCATATTTATAGTGACACAAAGGGCTGTTAAGCCAAAAATCAAGTGCAGTTGCTCTGAGGTTGACTTTAAAGGCTACCCTAGAAACTGAAGAAATAACCAATTACGGTGTCTTTTTTCATAGGAAACTAACATTCCAGGCGATAAGATGAAAACTGATTTCAGCAGTTACTCAGGTGGTCTTTAAAGTCACTTGACTATAAAATTCACCTTAGCAAGGGTTAAATTATCGTGTTATTCTGAAATCCATTACGGCAACCGATAATCTAATCAATAAGGTTTCTTCATTTCCACTAGGATAGCCTTTTTTCATGATATGAGGAAAGCCAACTGGTTATTGAAAAGATTGTTAAAGTGATCATTGGAATTACAACAAATATTAAGTGTCTTCTAAGATTACCCTTACAACGACTAAAATAGCCGATTTGATTCCATTGTTTTGACTCAAAAGTTAGATTTTAATCAAATCTATACTTTAATTGGTTATTTCATTTGCCATCAGGGTGGCCCTTAAAGTTACTTGAAGTATTCAGTTAACCGCTTTTATTTCATCTGAAAAGGTAGATTTTTATAAAATAGAGAAATCGAATTGTTCATCTGGGTTGTTGTTACAGGGGTCCTTAGAGTTTTTCAAGAACAGCAACTAAGTAGACTACCGCAGTAAGCGATTACATTACATTACGTGGTTCAGATATGTAGCTTTTCATAAAATGCAAAAAGTAATTATGGAGATACTAAAGTGCACCCTAACAAATGCTGAAACAACCAATCAGGTTTCGATATCTTGGCTCGGTAGAAATTTTTTCATAAAATAAACAAAGGTAATTGGCTATCTTAGCAGTTTTTAGACAAGCCATTAAAAACACTTATTAATTGGTTGATGCATTGAGCGCATTTTACTTGATTTTAAGGTTTCTTCTGTTAATCGAACTTAGACTTCATTCGTAGTGGAAACGACTCATTTTTGTAGCGCGGATTATGCACCAATTTTCGAAACTCAATGATTTCCCTTTAACCCAGCCTTTTATAGTCGCCTGATTTACTTATCTCAGACTGCTAATCCTAACAGCTTATTCCTTTACTCATGAACAAATTTGGCGGTTGTTTACAAAGAACTTTATCTATAAGAAAAAAAAGGTTGATATATTCTGATTTTATCAAAGTAAAATTGTCAGCTGGATGTCTTTATCACTGCTACGAAGTGGGATCAAGTACGTCTAAGTTCCATTATTTTCTATGGTTCATAAATATATATTCTCCGTTTCAGGAAATCACTGAACTCTTCGGTGATATTTTTAATTGTTTACTAATGTCGCTTTAAAATAGTGAGACTGTATTGGAAGTTACACAAATATCCATACGTTGTCGGTCAAATCAGTGCATAATCCCCGCGACAGAAATAAGTCAACAACAATTTTTATAAATCTGGAAAATGTCACTACTAATGAAGTCTAAGTTAAAGCAACAGAAGAAACCTTAAAACAAATTTCAAACATTTTGTAACCATACTGGCCTAACTACAGTGATCTTGTGGTCGAAATGATCTCTTCTGAAGGCCACTTTGGCAACTACCCAAGTAACCAACCAGACGTCTGTATTTCATGAAAAACTATCTTTTCAGACTCATTACGTGTATGAAGCAAACATTTTATTCAGCAGAAGGCTAGTGAATAAATATTCTGAATTCATTTGATAGATTCATTAGTTATAGCTGAAAATTATCCTATTTCAGGTTCTATCACTTTAAGAAGATTTGAGTTAAACGTTGGAACGATGTTTGAACAACTGGTCAAACTATTAAAGTAGGGAAACGCAACACAGAAATGAAACTTTGTTATCAAGCGAATTCCCTAAAAAAATAATTCAAAGACAGGGATGGATCAGCAAAAAAGAATAAACAAGAATATATTTAGCAGCTAGACCAGAAGTCTTTTACATTTTTAAGCAGTTAGTTGATAGTTCATTGTACACACTTAACCACCACTTATCATTTCTTTTTCCCCTTCCCTAAGAACTACTCCCCACCAGAAGCGTACTGTTTTCTGAATTGTAGACTTGTTTTGAAACACCTTGACTGACTTATTATATCATTCATTCCATTGACGTGTTTCTGTGCTATCTAGAACAATGACAAGAGGGCAGTGGTTCTCATTCATTTTTTTGTAGTTGCGTGTCCTCCGTTATCCAGATACACTATCTAACCACATTTATTGGAAAACGACACTGGTAACAAGAACACAACTATTATATCAGCCTAACCGTTGACATTGTGGATTTCAATTGCATTTCGGAAGTAATGTGTTCTGAAACTACTTATTTATCTCTACATTAAAAGTTAGTATGCAGTGTTCTACAAGCTACAGATATTGATCAACAACTGCCGTCTACGCTGGCTCGGTACTGACATTGAAGATCAGATAACCAGAAAGAATAAACAACAAGGAACACTGGTCTAGCAACGAACCAACTAAGCAGGAATCTATCACTCATCAAATATGCACTGGAAGAAAGTGGAGATGGATTTGATTGGGCATACAGTGAGAAGGCCGATTGGGGACATCACGTGTGAGGCCAGACCAGGCCATCGAGTGGAATGGGAAGGGGAGACGATGAGTTGGGCGTCCGAGTTGATGTTGATATGGAGGAGATGATGTGAGGAAGAAATGAGAGTATGTGTGTAGTCGTGGTGGTAGGTTTTGAAGACTGCAGAGAAGAGAGTGCAACAGAGGTGTGCTATTGCAGCGGTGTGTTTCACCAGGAGCCCAAGGGGGAAATAATAATAATAATAATAATAATAATAATAATAACGCAGTGTTTTATCCAATCGTGATATGTAGTGGTTGGAAGTAGAAGTACAAGATACGGGTGATCGCAATGTTTTGATGATATAGGTTGTCTGGAAAATGCTTTTTTCTTTCATATAAGACATGTTTTTCTGATTTCATTTTCTCATAATTTTGTGAACAAGCAAAATGGTCATATATTTCACTTAGTATTAGACTGTTTGGAATAAATCTCAGTCATTTTACAGCCGTGGGAAAGCGTCTTACATTTGATTTTCTGATGGTTTAAGATACTTCGACGCTAACATGATCACAGCACAAAGTCATAGCATGTAATGGCAAGCAGCTGACAAACATTATACATAAGCCGTCCTCAAATAAATAACGAAGCAAAATTTTTCGAATCTCCATCCTTACTTTACAACAATAGATGAAAAAACAGGAAGAACCTCTTATGAAGGTGTGCCTATTCAAGTCATCTGACCTATCAAAACGTTGTGAAATAATAACTAGGGGCAAATATGAGTTTAAGCATGTATCAGTAATAAGAAACTAAGAAAAATAAATTAATAAGAAGCTTATAATGTGTTTAGAAACTTTATATCAGATCAGTGTTGTGATACCCGTTGTATAAGAGATGGCTGTCATACCTCAGTGGGTTAGTGGATAACTCTCTGACGTTTGCAGCGATCAGTACTGGTAGGAACAACATTACTCACTGAGGCGCAGGTATATCCGGTTGATGAATCCTAAGTAGGACAAAACGCGCGTCCTAGACTCCTCAGCTAGTCACCAAGATCAACATATTATGAGCTTATTTGATCTGTTCTAATCTGTTTCACATCTTGTCATCTAGTATGTCTAACTACAAATATCTTACAGTGTAGAGGCATAACTTAGATATTCTATGCCACAGAAGTGTAGGCAACATGGTAGTTTTATGGAAAGATAATGTCTTAGATAATATCGGCCTCTTAATCTAGATCTATCTAGTGGTTACCTACCTTTGATGTAGTCTGCTTGAAAAAGTGTGTATTTTCAAAATGGTAGAAGTAGACACTAGAGCAGGCATTGATTATGTGCTACAGAATTCCTTCTTCGTATTCACTTCAAGATGTTTCTTATTTTTTCTTGGTTTCTTAATGTGCCTGAAAAATGTTACAATGTAACATACTTATTACGATAACTATTTTATTGTTGTGAGTAACTTACTACCTTATTATTAATCTTGATTATCAAGTCTTCATTTATTTCCAGATATTTAAGGTATGTTATACCATTATTATTACTAATACTTCAATTCAATTGTAGGTTCTTTGCAACTGATGAAAGTTCATGAAAAACAGAGCTCACTGTGTATCGAAAATGTCTTTCTTCTTGCATCGTTCAAATTCGTCAAAGGAATTAAATGTTTGACATTTATGTTTTTTTCGATGATACTTTTAATAAAAATAATACAATGTATCTTTTCAAAATTGTTATTTCAACCCAAGAAATTCGATCATCTGAAATTAGAAAATACAGTAAATTTAGTTCTTTATCTTGTTTTTTGTATATAGTTCTTTCCTAGTTTAAGGTTCACTCTGTTGATTACTTTGTATAATAATGTTGATTAGGAGATGATTCTCCTAAAATATCTGAAATATCACTGTAAGTACTTGTATTACGACGCATTTCATGAATGCATGGACCAAGTAATCTCTCAAAACTGTCAGCATCTAGATAAGCGATTGTCACTTTACCTTTTGCATAGACAGATATTGCACGTGGTTTTCTAGTCAATAAAGCAAGTTCACCAAAGTAGTTACCTTTTTGTAACTCATTAAGTACAATTTCATTTCCATCATTCAATTGTTTTTTGATGATAACAGATCCTTCCAGTATAAAAAATATTTCATTACCAGGATCGCCTTGTTTAATTATACAATCTTTATTTTCATAATCTCGTGTACGTAAAGCGTCAGCGATATTCATACGTTCATCTGGACTAAGTTCTTGAAATATTTTGACAGAGTGAATGAGATCAAGAAATTTGTAACGTTGTTTAGATGCATAGGATAAAACAAGTTTAAGATATTGTTTCCTATTTATATACCACAATGTACCACTGGTTCTTGCAGTTACAGTTGCTGATCTAGGCGTATTATAAATCAGGGTTAATTCTCCAAATGAGCCTTCATTATCATATGTTTGAACACAGGTTTCTTCTCCATAAATATCACTTTTAAATGCATCGTATACACCATTTTCTATGATATAGAAATTATCTGCAACATCATCTTGTTCAACGATTGTTTCTCCTGATACCACTTGTCTACACTTCATAACATCAATCACTTTCATAAGAGTTTCATCATCTCGATATTTAAATATGGCATTCTTTTTACATACATTCAGTAACAATGTCTTTTGTTCATTTGATTTAGCCATGAATTCATTTAAATCATTGTCTTCCTCATTATTATCATCTTGAAGATCCTGTGAGTTAAAACGTTCAGCAATAACACAAGGTCGACGGTGTTGCAATGTTTTATATGTATCAAAAGCTTGTTCATCAAACCTACATACACTTTCATTATCAGAGGATTTATTAGAAAAAATAGTGTTCTGTGGTATACTCAGCCTTTTAGCTGGAGTAATATCTTTGAATAATACAGTTTTATGAACACTGGACTTATCTTGAGAATGAGCCAGATTACCAAAGTACACTGCAGCAAAAGATATAATATCTGATGGTTTTTCTCTTAGTACAGTAATAGAAAATTGTATAAGAATTTCAACCAGTCCTTGGGGTATTTCAATATCTGTCTGCATTATGAACACGAAGTATAGGAACAATTAAAGAAATAAAAATGATATATGACAGTTGAAATCAAAAAATGGATATCTCATGACATTTTCTTAAAAAATTATTCACTTTTAATCAAGTTAAGTGAATAACTATCGATTGTTATATTGAATTTATCAATTAAAGATGGTCACGAGGTGTTATGTAAACCACTGTGCTACATGTAAGTTTAGTAAGAAAATTATCCTAAAGTACTCAGCAATTCTAATTATCTTTTCTCATCCTGAATTCTGACTTACATATCTGTTTTCTGTGATAATATAATACCCAGTTTTTAAATAATTTCTTCATTCTAAAACGTTTGCTTATGTTAGAGTTGGGAATAAGATTACCAAAATCTTTATGAGATGATCTTAAACCCCTGAAGCCTTTTTCAATCAATCCTGTTTTTCTGAAGTTTCAGGGGGAAAAATAGTGAGTCAATATGTAAACACCAGACTAGTTGAAGGGAGCTTCTTCACCTGTGGCATTTAATTTCATGTATTCATATATGCTTAGATCAATCACTGTTCATCAGTCCTTGGGTGACTGGTTGATTGACTGAGGTCTTGTTGCTATTTTCTTCATGAACGTATTTTACACATCTACTGAAAGTGAAAATCACTGCATTGTATTGCTTTAGTCAAGCTCATCAAAAAATTGTAATACATACAAGTTTCTGTAATTACTTGGAGAAGAAAGGAGATACACACAATCAGCACAACAATGATGATTGAACAAGTCAGATAGTTATACAATATACACTGAGGTTACCTTATGATATTTATTTTGTTGACTGAAGAGAAACTATGATATGGAAACCAAAAAAAAATCTAATTTTCTAAACACTCAATCCATTTCACACTCTACATATCCTTCGTAATATCTAAAATTCATGCTACAGCACAATGTTAATGAGAATACTAAAAGATCTGGTAACACTGAGTAATAGGTTAAATAAGTTCTTGAATTATAATATCGAATTTGTAGAAGTTAACATGAAGTTAAACATTTTTGTATCATCGTAAATCTATCATTATGATCAACGTTTTGATTAAATTACTAGATGCTTCCATCAGACCTTAGAATAGTCAACAAAGTGGTCACCTGATAAAAAGTTTAGATTACTTCATACATGTCTTTTAAGCATACTTTCGGACAATTTGCTCGTCAGCAGCATAAAATATTATTTCAAGGATAAGTGTATACTAGAGAGTTCTGTCACTGTTATGAATTTCAAACATAAGATGACGTATACCTAAATATGTTTCTATTGTGTGTGTGTGTGTGTGTGTGTGAATTTCTATTCATTGACACCTCACACAATAGTAAATGACACTACTCGATTTAGCGATTCCTATTCAGGTCAATACAAGAAGAACGTGAGCCCATTTCAAAGATTTTTTCCCTTTGGGTTTCCGCTGAAATATAGGGCTTCTGTAGAACATCTCCAGTGAACTCTCTTCTCTGCAGTTTTCAAAACCTACCACCACGGCTACCCACATACTCTCATTTCTTCCTCACATCATCTCCTCCATATCAACCTCAACTCGGACGCCCAACTCATCGTCTCCCCTTCCCATTCCACTCGACGGCCTGGTCTGGCCTCACACGTGATGTCCCCAATCGGCCTTCTCACTGTATGCCCAATCAAATCCATCTCCACTTTCTTCCAGTGCATATTTGTTGGGTGATAGATTCCTGCTTAGTTGGTTCGTTGCTAGACCAGTGTTCCTTGTTGTTTATTATTTCTGGTTATCTGATCTTCAATGTCAGTACCGAGCCAGCGTAGACGGCAGTTGTTGATCAGTGTCTGTAGTTTGTTGGAAGTGCTTTTCGTGAAATTCCAAGTTTCTGAACAATCACATAGCAGCACTCACTTGACTGACATCAGTTTTGAAAATCCACATCTTGTTCCACATGCTGAGTACAGTCAATCTCCACACTGGTTTCAGATTAGTGAAAGCCTGTCTTGCTTTTCCGATTCTGGTTTTAACATCCTCGTGTGTGCCTGTGCCACCTGTAGTTGAAACAATGCTGTCTAGGTGGGTAGGTAGATGAAGGAGACTATTTCCTTCAAGTTTCTCCCTTTGGTGGTGATTGGAGCCGGTTGTTGTTAGTGGTGGTGTTGGTTGGGCATCAGCATCACCTCTCTCTTCTCTACACTCACTTGAAGTCCAGTCTTCGCTGCTCTGCTTCTTCTGTCAACTTGTTAGTTTTTGCCTGTAGATCTTCCAGTTCATGCGACACTAGACACAAGTCGTCGTTGGCGAAATTCAAATCTTCTAGGATCTTTTCCCCGATTCAGCCAGCGTATCTCTCTCTTCTCACTCCTCACTGTTTGTTGCATGATGATGCAGTCTAGTCCACTACAATCAGGAATATCATGGGTGATGGTAGGTAGCCTTGTTTCACTCTTGCCTTCACCTCAAAGGCATCACTGAGCTTTCCATTGTGAATAACTTGGCATGTGGAGTCTTCATATAGCTTTTGAGTGAGGTTGATAAAGGTTTGTGGTATTCCATAGTGCTGAAGCAGTTGCCAAGTTACTTCTCGGTTGACGCTGTCTTTAATTGATACGCTGGTTATTGGATATGACTGTAATTCATTGTGCAAACTAAGCACTACTAAAAAAGCTGTAGCTTATGCAATGACTTTTTCACAAAATCTAGTTTTGATTTTCTAAACACGCTGGTGTTACATTTAAATGTACCCTTATAATGCCTGTTGAGTCAGTATAAAACACACTGACTGGAGAAAAATTAATTAGGGTGCTTTTAGGCTCAGTTAAACTGATGACTTTGAAAACTTAAACTTCTAATCCAATCATAAAGGTGCATAGTTTCACGTTTCCACTGTAAAGTCATTATTTGAGGTATAAGGTATCAAAAATGTTGATGATCGACTCAATTAGTGACATTTTTTTCATTTTATTTCATATTCCCAACATAGGTTGCAATTGTATTCGGAAAGTAACATGGGCACACTTTATAGCAAATATACCAAGCAACTAATGAAACAGTCTGGTAGAGATAATGTTAGCCATTATCTTACGTAAATAAGGAAATTATTCCCTTGTCTCAGATTGCTTTGTTGAGATAATACCATTTGTACTCGCCTGTCTATTTTATCCTTACGTTTTTATCTACTTGTTGGCATTTAAGTAGCACAATTTCGTACAAACGTTTCAGTTTAATTTTGTTATCTATCAAGCTCAAAAGTGTGTGAAAAAACTGTCAGTTACATTGTTAGATATGATTATCTGTACATTGAACGTAACCTGTAGATATGCACCGCAAGATTTCAAACGACCAGAAAGACATTTCTTGGTTCTGAACATGCCATACCTTTCTTAGCCCCCAAAGTTATGTTTATAATTTGATTTCCCCCACTTATAAGTCTTTTCTTTTCGATTAATACTTTCTCTGTATTTACTATGAGTTTTATCACTTATGCCTCACTGCCCTTCAAAATTTCATTCTGATTGGTTCTGTTTGACTTTCTGATTGAATTTGTGTGTGGACGGATTTTAGTCATTTGGTTAATCTGCTTGTTGGACGACTGAGCTCACAAGCTTGAATGTACATTATTTGTAGATTATTTAGTTAAATCTTGTTGGCTTCCTTGTAATTTATTCTACGATTATCTCCATGGAAGCGCTACAGCTGGAGGCAGTGGGTGCGATTATTTTGGTTATAATCCTTGCTTACAGAATGGCCTTTTTCTCAGACCTTAACAATTATGTTGCGGACTGTGTAACCCCAGCATAACTTTTCCCTCACCACCAATTGCCTTTTTAGATCACAGGCCATATTAGGCTGACACAGATTTATTGAATGAAGCAGCTTGATAGCAGTAAGCAAAGTAACGTGCATCTAAAAGCTGAAAAAAAATCATTTTTCTTTTCGAAATTATGACTGAGTGTAACTTTTCGTGTCAATAGAATTTTGTGAAGTAACTCTAGTTCTTGAAGTGCATTTTATTGGTAATTATACGTGGAATAAGGAAATTAGTAACGTAGTTTTCCAAAAGACTTTTCAGTTAAGAAAGTAGAATCAATCGTGTTCCGAACGTTTCCAACATTGATACTTCCTACAAGTGAAATCATCATTGTAGTAACCCTAAAACTATAGAAATTTTGTAGGCAAATTCTGAGAGTAGAAAATGATGAATGATTTCATTCAAAAATGCCAAATTAAGCAATTCTAGTCAGAACACAAGACACTGAGTAAAAACAGAAATATATGGTTTTATTTAAAGCTTACCCTAGCAATCATGGTAAGTATAATGAATACCGAAGTTATCCTGGAAGGTTCCAGAAGTTATTGAAAGTAAGAAAATAGGTCGTTTCAAAAAAAATTAAAGCTGCATTAGTACGTAGAATGATCACGTACAGTATACAATCTGAAATCTAATTTTGTATTCAAAAGTATTTCACACCTTCCGGAATTCAACATATACCCAACCAACAACAAGCTCCAAACACCATCAATGGGAGAAACTTAAAGGAAGTAGTCTCTTTCACCTATCTAGGCATCACTGTTTCAACTACAGGCGTCATGGTCGACGACGTCAAAGTCAGGATCGGAAAAGCAAGACAGGCCTCACTTCATTACCCTAAAATCAGTGTGGAAATCTTCTACACTCAGCACAAAGAACAAGATCCAGATTTTCAAGTCAGTGCTTCTGTATGGTTCAGAGACTTGATGCGTTACGAAAGGGATTTCCAACAAACTACAGACACTGATCAACAACTGCCGTCTACGCTGGCTCGGTACTGACATTGAAGATCAGATAACCAGAAATAATAAACAACAAGGAACACTGGTCTAGCAACGAACCAACTAAGCAGGAATCTATCACCCAACAAATATGCACTGGAAGAAAGTGGAGATGGATTTGATTGGGCATACAGTGAGAAGGCCGATTGGGGACATCACGTGTGAGGCCAGACCAGGCCGTCGAGTGGAATGGGAAGGGGAGATGA